TAACACATCACGCAGATTTTCTCAGCAGACTCCTCTCCGCAAACGAGCTAGACACCTCCGTCTTGCCACTCCAGCACAAGGCACTCCCTTTAAGCTTAGAGATACTGTTGCTCTTAAATGTAACACAGCGATCAAAATGTATAGTTTATTTCACTGTCTATGCATTAGCAGTGTCTTACAAAGTTCCGAAATAAAAAATTTAATATAGACAGCAATTCAAGGGCAATAATTGTTGCGTTCACAGGATGTTCCTTGCATTGCAAACAAATTGAAATAATAAGTGCTTATTCTACAGGTTAATCTTACATCCCAATCTCTGCGTTTCGTAACACAGAAATCCCGATTATTAGAATTGCATTATTCTGATACTATTTAAGCCATTTAATTCCCTTGTTACTTCAAAAAATATGGCAAACGCAAAACACAAAAAGAAAAATTGCCCAAGCCATTTGAAAATTAAACTCTCGCATATTTTCCGCACGTATCTCCGGAGTTGAAACTTTATTTAAATATAGGTTTCAATATTTGTTCAAATAAATATGATCATTTAAATAATTATTAAGAGAAGTATTTCAATAATTTCGAGAATTACGAAGGCAAGTTGCATTTTTTACTGTTATCGAACATTTCAGTAATTTTCTAATGAGGATTCCGACTGTGTCCACAAATAAAGTAGAATAATTCAACTGACTTCTCTTTTCTTCAGCATAAACCATGGGCGAAGATGATCTTTGCCTAACTGCAGCCATAGAGTTAATATTTCAAGGTTACAATTTGCCACTCAGATGCACGCACCCTTTAATTAATGCATATCCAAAGCTAATTTGAACCCTAAGATATGAAAGCTCACTCAGACATTAGGCGGCAGTATATGGGCCGTGAAATGTCCCTTTGAGCGTCGGCAGAGGCCTTTGATCTCTCACCTAGAAAAGGACCTTCGAATTCTCGCAGTTCCGGAGTCTGCGTACGTACTGGAAATCCTTTGCCTCCTCTGGCTCTTCGTGTGCTCTTAGAGGGGGACCTCAAAAGGTCCCATCCTCGCTCTCGGCTCCGTCCTCACGCCCTGCCGTAACCTCGCCCTCACCCTTTCGCATGCCCCCAGGCCCTTTCTCACTTCTCTATCATCCTTCCCAGCCTACATTACGATGCAAGTAGACAGTACCAATGCGCATTAGGCTAAGTTGATAACGAAAATGTGTTGAGTGTAAGTTCACCTGACACAAAAATGCCTCAAAGTCGCAATATAAAATCATTGAATTCTACTCTTCTGACATTCGCAATTGGTACACGCTTCAGTTTACGTCCACTTCTAAACTTTAATAGAAGTGTGTTTCATTTTCTTGAAACATAGAAAACTTCCCTGAAACTTTCTGGCATATTGAAGTTATCAGATATATATATATATATATATATATATA